CCATCACAGAGGTCCTGCCTGTGTCACATGTCAAGGGAGAACGTGCAAAACCCTTTTTGTGGTCAGTGTACATGGACTGAGGAGCCACCCCTGCTCCTAACCTTACATCCACACCTGCACAGCCTACCTGGGTACATGTTATTCCTCTTCCTTTTCCAAGGACTTCTGAAAGTCCAGTATCTCAACCCAGGAGCAATGCCAGGAGCATCAGGTACTGAAAACAGGACAAACTGCCTGACTGTGTGAAAGTCAGTGTTCCAGGTTAACCCACAGGAATGGCCAGAGAAAAGTCCATTTGCTTCTTCCCCAGAGGAAGACATTAAATATCTTTCCAGGGAAAAGAGGTTTTAATTAGTGCTCCCTTCTGCATAGAGCCTGGCTCTCCTCCTCTGTCTCCTCAGCCAAACACAGCTATAATTAAGAGGCAGCAGTATCAGAAATGAGAGCAGGCTCCAGCCTGTGATTTATTAAGGGATATCGTGGGTGCAATTACCTTTCTCTCTCCTACTCTCCCCGGTGTTTTTATGAAGTGAATTTACTGATGAAAGGATTGTCTCGGGCTCAGGCAAATGGACACCTCTGTGTTTATCTTGGCACTGAGAGCGAAGGCAGAGTCACTGCTATGCCTGCATACAGTCACCACTGAAAGCCTCACACCTGACTTAGTATAGATCCTGGAATGGTTTGGGTTGGAAGGGACCTCCAAGTCCATCCAGTGCCACCCTCAGCCATGGGCAGGGAGACCTTCCACTAGCTCAGGTTGCTCCAAGCCCTGTCCAACCTGTCCTTGGACACTTCCAGGGATGGGGCAGCCACAGCTTCCCTGGGCAACCTGTGCCAGGGCCTCCCCACCCTCACAGGGAAGAATTTCTTCCCAATGTCCAACCTAAACCCACCATCCTTCAGCTTAAAGCCCTTTGTCCTGCCACTCCATGCCCTTGTGAAAAGGACATGGAGGAGTTTGGAGGACTCAGAGTCTGAGTTTGTGTCCGCAAGTCTCAGTTCTGACTGGTGGCAGCGGTGGGACGAGGAGCAACCCAAAGGAGTCCTTGATGATGGCAATGAGCAGTGACAGGCCAGGACAAGCCACTGGCCTTGTCCACAGCAGTGAGATGAGTCAGGTTTGGGGTTCCCTTTGTATTTGCTGGTGAGGGAATCTGGGGGACGCGTGGCTTTGGGTGGCAGCTCCAGTTCCGATAGCCAACACCTGTAAGGCATGGAGAGATTCCAGCTATCTTGGCTCCCACTTTTGGTCATCTTCAGAGAGAGGGAAGTTAGGTGTAAACAGTCTGGGGGAGGGTGGTGTTGACTCAGCCTGTGCCTGTTCATCTGATCTTAATCACCGTCCCAGCAGCAGCACTATTTCACTTTCTGAACCAGCCATGGGGTCTGAACTTTGGTTTATTGCCATTCGGATGGGCTGCACTTTACCTTTGTAGTATATAAATCTGGACAGGTTGAGACTGATAAGACAGAGGGGAAAAAAACCCAAGAAGGATCCAGGAAGGACTAAACTTAAACAAGTTCAAATTATGAAAAGCTTTTGGGGGCCAGTGCCCCAACCAGAAACCAAAAATAGGAAAGAATTTCCTGGCCTGTTCCAAGGTGGTGTTGAAAGACCCCAACCCACAAATGCGGAGTGTTACTGCTCCACCAGCCAGGCAAGGAGCTGCCCTCACCTGGGGCAAGGCTGGGTCAGAGGCCCATGAGCCATGAGGGCTCATTTGTGCCACACCTGCCAATCACGACAGCCGGGGCTGTTGCAAAATTCCATCCTGCCCCTTCCTGCCCTGGGTCTTGACACTCAGCTCCTCCATCCAGCTGAAATGGCTGAGAGAAACCGTGGCAGTGTCCAGGGAGTTGGAAAGGAGAAGTGGGTTAATAGCTCAGCGGGTGAAGACCCAGCTGTGGACTGGATGTGGGAATGTGCCCCTGGCACTGGAGATGAGGATTTTGACATGTGAGATGTATTTGCCAGTCTCAGGAGGATAAGGAGAACCTTTGCGGGAGATGGTTGTGAGAGGGGTTGTTTGGACCCTGCTCTGAAGGCAGGGATGGATGTGAGGGCAGAGCATCCCGAGCAGGGTCTGACTCTGTGCCAGACAGGCCGGAGCAGCTCAGCCTCTGCCATCAGCCTCTTGCCTTGTGAGGGTCCCCTCATTCCACTGTGCCTGCAGGAACAGGCACCTCCAGCCTCGCTTGGTGCCTCCAACCAAATCAGGGCCCCGGCAGCTTGTCTGGGCACTTCAGTCCCTATCCCAGGGCAGCTGAGCAGGCAGAGCCTGTGACTCCCCACCTCTTCCCAGGGGCTTTTGTTCTGTTCCTCAGCAGATCCTCAGTGGCAGTGAGCACGTTGCAGTAACGCCCTCAGGAGCACTTGGGGAGTGGGAACAAGGGCTGGGCTCTCCTGGGGAATTGCAGTGCAGGGGAATGGGGAAGATCTCCAAACCGGTCCAGCTCAGCTCCACACCCTTCCCTCCCTTCTTAATTGCCATTCCTCCTAATTTACCTGGATTATCAGGAAATAAAACGCCAGGGCTTTTTTGGTTACCCCCCTGGCAGTGTGCATTTCAGTTTTGGAGGCAGTACCGTCGCCAGCCCAGGAGAAAGGAAAACTCTCACTGTCTTGGGAAAGGACAGACTCTTTCTTGTGCCTGTGCACAGAGATGGCCTTGTCCATGTAGGACCAGCATGACACCAATGTGTGGGATCGGCTCTCCGAGGATCCCCTTCCTCTCCTTGGTACCCATTTGATACAGGAACACTAAATACTTTAGGGATGGGTGACAGCATATTTTTCCCTGAGCCTGACATTTCAAACCCTCTGCAAGCGGACAGAAATGCTATTCAGAGCCTCCCCACTCCATGAAAATCCTTAATGTTCCTCTCTGCTGTGTTCCTGACTGTGATCTTGTGGGCATATGGAGATCTGGAGCCACACTGTGATTTCAGGCCTCCTGGACCTCCCTGGATCTCGTGTCCTGTGTCACTCAGGCGTTGTACAGTGCCTGGCACCACTTCTGGTAGTGCAAAGACAATGAAGTTGGACAAATGGAAGGGTTTCTGGAGGTACCATCCTTCCCCTCCCTTTGAGTGGGAGCCTTGAATAGCTCCTTGGCAGGCAGGTGGGTGTTTTCCTGGGCACCTGCTGAACCTTGGCCGAAGCAGGTGGCTCAGGAGGCCATGCTGGCAGAGTCACGTGGTGCTGGATCTGCTGGCACTGCCCTGCCAGGCAGACACCTCACTGCTGATAAAGCTTTACTGGAGGGCAGGAGACCATCCCTGTCAGTCCGGGAAGTCAGTGGACTTCTTCTTGGGGGTCACTAGGGCGGGCTCATAAGGTTTGACTGTTTTTAGAGGGTGATATTTTTATTGCCAAAGCAATAGAGGCCGTGCACTCCCATCTCCCAGGGGAAGGGCAGCATTGACAGCACCTACAGAAAGGAGACTCGAGGCCAGACCAGCCCCACGCAAGGAGAAAAACACTGAGCCTTCCTCAAAGCCGCAAACCTGCCCTGATCCAGCACTCCACACCTTGGCATGGAAGGGAGAGAACAGAGTGTGACAGAGACACAGCTCCAAAGCACCCCTGGATCCAGCCCTCTGGGAATAATGCTCCGAGAGTCCCTCACGCACTCCGGGCTTATTTCATATGGATGTTTCTCAAGCCCACACAAGCCAACACATTTGTTCTCCCTGTTTTACTCCTTCCTTTGTTGCCACAAGGACTGGAACCTCCCGAGTCCTGTGGTGCATTAGTGTCTCTTCTGAATCTTTCATTTCCAGAATGATTCTGTGGCCCTACAAAAAGTATTTTGTTTCTCAGCACATTCCAAGCACGTCCAAGCCTTGGTTTTAAACCGGGCCGAGCACCAACCTTTGCCTCTCACAGACACATTCCCACAGTGAATCCCAAGCCCCTCTTCCCGGTCCTCCTTTAAAGGACTCCTTGATTCAGCACCACTGCCTGCCCTTTCTGTCTGTGGAGGACTAATTTTCCTTCTTAATCAACTGAAAACTCCATCACGCGACGAAATGGAGCCAGGAATGTGCTGCTGCCTGCGGCATCCGCGGGTGAAGCCCTGCGTGGGTCCCTGCTGTGTCAGCCGGGGGCTGAGCCTCTGGCTGTCATTACTTCTACTAAGAAAAAGTCCTTTTTAGGGACAGATCCCAGCCCGGCGCTGGCGCTCCTGGACGAGCAACTGCCGATGGATCCGATCCCTGTGGCAGCGTTTCAGAGCAGCCCAGCAACGCAAGCGTTACTCCCCGTTGCCCTAATTACAGCGGGGCAGTCACCAGATTTTACTCCTGTGCTGTGTCACAGTTATTTCCAGTATTTAAAAATAATGACAGTCACATCATGCGTCCCTGAGCCTTGTGCTGGGTGCAGTTTGCACGGGCATTTTCCAGGCATAGAAGTGAAAGGGGACGGGAATGCTGCGCTCCGACTCTTATCGCAGAGGGAGGCAGAGCTGTCACGGCGGGGAGCGCGGCAGCTCCGAGCTTCCCTCCGTGCTCAAACAGGGTGGTGGGTCCTGCCAGGGTCGGGGCAGGGAGAGCACACCCACCGAGAGCAGCGGCTCATCCAGGGGCCCGGCGGGGAACGGCGAAAATTCCACGCGTGTCCCAAAAAGAGGAAACCCCGAGGTTTGCAAACAAACAGCTGCTCAAAAGTACGTCTCCAGACTTAATTAGGAACAACAAAAAAAGCCTCGTTCTGTGCCAAATGGACATTTTGCTGCCAAGAAAGTGCCACCTACTGGATCTCTCCCGGTGGGGAATCGCCAGGACGGGAAACAAACCCAGAAAACGCAACACTGGGAAAAGTACAGGTTTTTACCTTTTTTTATACTGTAACAACAGAAAACTACCCAGATAGTTCTCCCAGCCGCAGCCCTTCCCCAGCCACACTCCCTCCACAGCGGAATCAGCCAGACTTTCGAAGGGGATAAATGTTGGGGAGGGGGATGTGAAGTTTTAGGTTTTGAGGAGGGACTCACCGGTGCTGAGAAGCCGCTCTCGTCTCCCGCAGTTCCCTCAGCTCCCGTGTGTTCTCTCCCAGTTTCCCGTGCCCTCCTAGTTAAATCCTGCTGCCATTCTCCAGCAGCCAAGCTCCCTCTGCTCCCTGCACAGCTTGCGATCCCGGTGCCCCAGCCGCTGGAGGGGAGCCCGAGGCAGAGCCCACCCGGCACCCCGGCCTGGGGGTCCCCGTGCTGTGGCTTCCTGCTGCCCTTTCTTCCCGGTGCCGCTCGCCCCGGTTGTCTGAGAGCAGGTGACAGAGGTTTCTTGGCAGAGCAGAGAGGAGGGGAGGGATGTGGAGGCAGCGAGAGGTGGAGCTGGGACCCGGAGCAACAGGTTACTGTGTAACCAGGGCTGGTGGCCCCAGGAGCGCCGGGGGCTGTGCGGCCTTCGCCCACTCCCCGGGCAAGGGGACCAAGAGCCCAGGACGTGTTAAACTTCAGGTTTCCTGCACCCGAGAACATTTTGTACCCAATGGGGAGGTTAAGGCGGCGAGGGGAGGTGAAGGAGTGCTTGGAGCTCAGTTTTCCATCGCCGGTGAGGGAGGGGACGTGCTGCCCGATCGCCTCGTGGGGGAACAAGGCCCCTTTTGTGCAGCCCAGGGCTCTCCTCCGCGCCGGCTCACGGGTTGTTTTCCTCCAGCGCCGCTCCTGCCTTCTCTCCCTTCCCTGATGTCTGCAGCTGGGAAAGGTGCTGGGAGATGGGGGGAGAGGGCAAAGTGTCCTCTCTCTCCCGGTCCCCAGAGCACTCAGGGGTGTGGGGGAGAGCATCCGTTGGGGTACCCTCTCCATGGCACTGTGCTCCTTGGGGTTACCTGGCTATAAAGCCCCTCATCTTGCCCCAGCTCCTCCATGAAAGAGAGTAGGTTTAGGTTGAGTATTGGGAAGAAATTCTTCTCTTTGAGGGCAGTGAGGAGCTGGCACTGGTTGCCCAGAGAAGCCGTGGCTGCCCCATCCCTGGTGAAGACCTAATGAGGACCCTGTTGTTGCTCACACTGTGTGCCCCTGTACTTGTGTGCCAGAGAGAAACTGCACGTGACCCTTTTGGCCACAGAATCCTGGAATGGTTTGAGTTGGAAGGGACCTTCAAGCCCATCCAGTTCCACTCCCCTGCCACGGGCAGGGGCACCTTCCACTATCCCAGGTTGCTCTAAGCGCCGTCCAACCTGGCCTTGGACACTTCCAGGGATGGGGCAGGGAGCAGCCTTGGCAGGGAGCATCCCTGTGCCACTGCAGTACCATCAGCCCTCCCTGGGGATGTCCAGGCCCCGTTATCAGTATTGTCAGGAGCAAGACCACCCTCCCCTTCTCACCTGGGCCCCAGGTGGGGCACAGAGAAGGCAAGAGCCGCTTCTTGCTGGAGTGGCAGAGGTAGGACTTGAGCTCCAGCCCTTGTGCCAAGGCGAGTGTTGTTCCTGGGCACTCTGGGAAGGATTTTTAGAAGCTGCAGTCTTACCACACGATCTCTTGTTGCTCTTCTCTTGCTCTTCAAAAGCCAGAGGGAAATTTTAATAGCTGGCAAGGCCACTCTGGAGTTTCTGAGCCAGACTGCAGAGAGGATGTGTGAGCTGTGCTTGGGTCTGCCCTGCAGACCCTGTGTTTGGGGGCCCAGAGGGACTTTGGACTCTTGGAAACAGTCTCATGTGTGGGCAGACTTCTTACTTTCAAAGAAATAGTTTTGTAGTGCCCAATTTCATTTGTCTTAAGATTTAACATTTTTTAAATGATGGGGTCAGCTCATGAACTGATCATTAGGCTGGAAAATATCAGCTGTGTCATACTGACACGTCCATGGCAGGGTAGGATCCTTCTGGTTAGCCAGTCCTCTCCAAAAATTGGGGCTTTTGAGAGTGTTTTATTAAAGTACTCGTGCCTGCAGGCCTCCACCCCACCCCCAGGGTGTGTGTTGAACCCCTGGCATGTACATCTAGAGAGACCCCGTGTCACCGGCCCGGGAAGAAACAGCTGTGACTGTGACACGAGGGAAAGAAGGAAGGAGAAGCTTCCACCTCGGGACCGTCGTCTGGGGAAAGCCCGAGTTCCTTAGCTGGACATTTGTGAGTTCCATGCTGCTTCTGTTCTCTTGGAGGGACTTGTGCCCAGCTCGCAGCCTGGCCCGTGTCCAGGCCCCGCTCCGAGGAGCCGCCCGGCTGAGTTCCTGCGGGAGGAATGTGCCGGGGGAGCCGGGCGGGAAGGGAGAGCCAGCTCCCGGCTTGACAGGGGCGATTTGGCAGCTCGCTTTGACAGGAGCACGACCTCTTCCGCCCGGCAGAGCGGCGGTGATGCTCGGCGTGACGCGCCCGCCCGGTGCCCCAGCACCCTCCTCGCCGAGATCCCAGGGGAATGCACTGGGAAAACGCGGCCAGCCCTAGGAAATGCGGGATTTAGGGAATGCCAGCCACACTGCCAGGCGGAGGAAGGGATATGGGTCCAACCGAAGGGAAGCGCAGTGGGAATGTCAGCTGTGCCAGAGCCTGGCCAGAAGGGTTTGTGCAGGAGATCCCCACTCCCTGAAGTGCATCACCGGGGTTTTCAGTGGGACTGCTGGGCTGGGCTCACGTTCCTGGGATGCAGACAGGGAGTTGGCAGGATTCTGTTTTAAGGCACTGCCTGCTATCCAGCTCCACATGCACAGTGCAGACAGGGCTACCGTGAGCTGCTGCGCCCGCAGCAAATCTCTAACTGTGAGCAGGGAGGCAACTTTTCCTCTGGGCAGGGAAGGAGACCACAACGGAGCTTATTACACCTTCCCTGCAACAGCTGGTGCCGGTTGAGCTGGCCCAGAGGCGACTGTGGAATCATGGAATGGTTCAATGGCAGTTCCAGCCTCGGCTCCCAGGTGTGGAACCAACTGAGTGCACATCCTCAGCCTTTCTCCTTCCCTGAGCACTGGGCTACTACAGCTGGGTTCTGTCTGCACCTTGTTCCTGCCTGCTGAGGGACATTACAAAGTCATGGAGCAATAACACCCTATCTCCCAGTATCTCCAAGCTGGAAATCCCAGGGGGCTGACTTTCCTTTTGGGATCAGCCTTTTAAATCAGGTTGGCGGCAGACACCCCTGGGATGGCTCGAGAACAAAGACTTGTCAAGTAAACACCACCCAAACCCAGCTCCTCAAAATGTGTGTTCCTCTCAATTTTTAATGCTGTTTGCATCCAACTTGCTTGTCCTGTTTCAGAAGGGCTGGGCCTCGTAATTAAAAGCTCCAGCGATTTTATGTCTGGCAAATGTCATCAATGGCTTCACTATGTGTTCCCAGCTTCTCTGAGCAGTGGGAACGGTTTGGAAAGCAGCTCCTGATTAGGGGAACTCTCTGAAGCTGATTCACTTTGGGTCTTTGTACCAGCTCAGCATGGAGAGATGCTGTCATGGTATTAGGGTCAGCAGCATAATGACAATTCCCATTGAAAGCCTGGAAATACCCGAGATGAAGGAGTTGTCTGAAGCTTCCAGACTTCATCCTTCATCACGGAGTGAAGGGCTGTCAGCAGCAGCAGTACCCAGAAAACAGTTCATGGACAGTTTTATCTTAAACTGCACCAGGGCTGTCCTGTCCTGGTGAGGGTGCCAGTCCAGGTTGGTGCCAGCTGACCCCAGCAGGCACCGACAGCCAGCCAGGGCTCTGCCCAGTTCCAGCCATCAGGCCCTGCTCTGAAACGAGCCTAAAAACTCATGGTTATTATCCTCTGTGCATACTTACCCCGTGGACTATCAGCAAGCACTGGCACTCTCCCCTGACCCTTGTTTTTCATCTGGGTGGTGGGGAGGGAGCTCAGGGTGCCCCACGTTTTGTAACATCTGTTTTGTATTTATTTAGTTTGCAGTGGTCACCCTGGGAAGGTGCCACGTGGAGGCTGCGACTCAACGGTGACCTGTGCGACCCCCTCTGCCGTATCACCTGCATTCAGGTAAAAATTCCACTTGGCAGCGTGTCCTTTAGAGCCTGACAGATGCTCTGCAGCCAGACCTTTGTGCAAGGCGGGTGTGAACACCAGGAAAAGTTTGTGCTGGTATTTGTCCCCGTCCAGGAAGGGTTTTGCTCGTTAAGGGGCAGGGACAGCTCGGAATGTTGGTCACTCCTCGTAACAAGCATGTGATGGCACATTCCATCATGCCAAACAAATCAGGGAGGACAAATAGGTGGGGGCTCGATTCAGGCAGATTAAACACAGAAACATTTGGTGATTCAGTTTCTGGGTGCTCCTTAGCCCCAGTTCTGCTGCTGAGATGTTGTTTCATGGGTGCAGCAAAGGGTCAGCTGTGCCACGGACTGAATAGGATCTGTCCAAGGGGATTTGTGCCAATGGATACTTTGATTGTGACCATAGTGGTGTCATGTGGACAGAACCTGCTGTTACCTGGCCTGGGAGTTGAATCATGGAATGGTTTGGGTTGGAAGGGACCTTCAAGCTCATCTCATAGCACCCCCTGCCATGGGCAGGGACACCTTCCACTATCCCAGGTTGCTCCAAGCCCCTTGGCCTTGGACACTTCCAGGGATGGGGCAGTTGTGCCAGGACCTCACCACCCTCACAGGGAAAACCTTCTTCCCAATATCTCATCTAAACCCATCCTCCTTCAGCTTAAAGCCATTCCCCCTTGTCCTGTCACTACAGGCCCTTGTGAAAAGTCCTTCTCCAGCCTTCTTGTAAGCCCCCTTTAGGAACTGGAATCCTTAAGGTTGGAAAAGCCCTCTAAGATCATCAAGTTCAACCACTGAATGACCAAGGGATGAATTTGGGCCCTTCCACAGGAACTTGAGTGCCTTTTGTTCCTTTCTACCACCACCAGGAAGCAAAGAGCAGCATAAGCTGAGGTGCCTCAGGCCTGCACCCCTCAATTTTCAGCCCCTGATGAGTGCAAATTAGCTCAGACCTTCCCAGGACAGGAGAAGGGCCCACACACAGCAGCAGGATCAGGATCAGAAGAGGCTTTCATACACATCCAGCTCACCTGCGTCTTCCTTTGGGTGGCTCAGCTGGAGCCAAGGATCTGAACAAGATGCTCTGCACTTCAAACACTCCTTAGATCTAAACCATTATTTATTTGAATGAATAAATAAATACAAAAATAGGAAATTCTGAATATAAAACCTGCTTCTTCAAAACCCCACAAACTCCCCAAGCTTTTCATTAACACATGTTTTTGATACAGTAAAAAACTCTGAACTTGCACAAGTTGTTCAGTTAAAAGACAAAGCTTGAATGTAGTAATTTTTGCAGAATAGTGGAAATCAACATGTTTAACACCAAATAGGAATCCACCTGCCAACATTCTGTTGGACTTGTAAATAGGACAGAAGTCAGTGTGAGCGGTGAATGATTTTGTTCATTTTGAGGCCATCATATTTAACCAAACATCCCCTCACACACTATGTCAGGAAGAACAGCAGCCCAAACCCTGCAGCTCAGCTCTCTGGGTATGCACAAAACCCAGTTCCACTGTCTCCCGCTGGGATACACCAGGTTCTGCCCTACTAAAGTCAGGGAAATTACCACTGAGGTCTGGAAGCACAAATGAGAGCAGCAGAGGAGCTGTGCCCTCGAAGACGGCCGTGTGAGTGGCGAGGCAGGAATGAGTCCTGGCCTGGTTCATTTCTGTGTCACTTGGGCTGCACGTTGCTGCTGTGCCATGAAAACTCCCATCATCCCAGCAGGGATGATGTGCTGGCTCCTGTCCTGTGTTGGCAATGGGTGTTTAGTATTGATCCCTGGTGAATGCCAGAGCATTGAGGGTTTTGCTGATTCATCCTTTGCCCATAAATAAGCCACGGGCAGGACAGCGTCACAGAGGGGCTGGGCAGGACGTCTCACCTGCCACACAGGGACATCTCTGCCCTGAAAATTTCTAACTGAAACAGAAGTTGTCCATACAAAAGAATTAAATCCTTGCAATGAAAGCCCACTGTCCCGTGGCAGGCAGCGTGCTGGGCTCAGCTGACGAAGGCAGCGATGGCCGTGACCTTGAGCCCCGACTCCAGCCCGTAGGCACAGAGCAGCAGCGCCGTGAGCACCACGTCTGCCCACAGCACGTAGGTCTGCCAGGCCAGCAGGTACACGCTCAGCACCACACTGCCCACCGTGAGCCCCAGGCTGAGCGCCAGCGGAGCCTCCTCCTCCCGCAGGTTTCCCTTGCAACCTGTGAGGAAACAAAAGGCCAAGAGGAGCCTAATTCCTTCTGACAGTAGCTCAAGCCATAACTCCAGAATATTCCTGCTCAAAAAGGCTCTGGTTATTACCTTGCTCTTGCTGAGCCTTAGAGGCTCAGAATACATTGAAATACCAGCCTGAATCAAGGCTCTGCCAGCAAATTAACAGCAAACCCAACACCAATGGACAATACATTTCAAAATAGAGAAATGACTCAAAGTTAATCTAAATAAAGAGCAATCAGTGGATAGTCACAGTCAGGGCACATTTTCTTACCACAAGAATCAGTTCTGAAGCTGCAGTCTTTCTGATCACTCAGTTTCTTAACCAACCATCAAACCTCCCCCCAGCCACCTGCTCAGCGGGACACCTCAGTGACACCCAGAGTCCAATCCTGGCTGTCAAATCTGAGGCAATATAGACAGTTCTCTATTCCCTGCTAATCTATTCCTGTTTCAAATGACTGTCAGTGTGGAGAAGCTGCACTTATCTCTTCCTTGCAGCCTATTTCCAGGCTCGTCTCAGTAGATTTTGGTGTTTAACTACATTAGAGTTGAAACTCACTCCTTTATTCATGGACCAGGCTCTGAGCAAATACACAGAGAGCTCTAAGGCAGCAGGATAAATCCACCCCTACAGCCAGTCAGTTGGATTCAAGAGCCCCACTGTGCATAAATGTCTTAGGAATATCAAGCAGATTTTAACAGTGATTTGGGTTTTTTTTAAAAAAGGACTATAAGAAGTTTTGGCAAGCTCTGGACAGGAGGCTGTTCACACTGTTCTGTCTTAGTGAAAGGAAGGTGTTGGCACTGGCCCAAGGCTTCAGGAGTGAAGGGAGAGGTGCAGAGATCTCCAAATACCTGCTAAACTGACGTGTTTTGACACAGACTCCATTTCCAAATGATTCATATTTAAAGATTCTATTCCACAAAAAGGTGCAGGGATAACATGACCTACCCAAGTACAGTCGAGGCACTTCCAGCATGGCCATAAGGAAAAGTACGGCAAGATCAGGAGCCAGGAAATCATCTGGATAACTGAAAACTTGACCTAGAGAATAAGCCAGGGTAAATAGAGCAGGAAAACACAGCAGGAGTAGGGCAAAGCCCAGCTGTGCACAAGCAAGGCCTGCTCTGGGTTATCTGCGACTTACTTTTGTAAACAATCATTGCAAGAGTTGCCAAGAAGTAGAAGATGTAATAAATCCCATTTACATAAAACAGGATCTGTAAGGGAAGCGATGACAGCTGAGAACTGCTGTTAAGGATTCTCAGAGGAGATGGGACCCATTCCATAAAATCACCATTTCCAAAAATATACTGCTCTGCCTTTTTGTACTCAATGGTCCAGCTATGCCTGGCCTGTGGGGAGGGTTCAGGAAGGAACCTGAGGCTGCAAACACCAGGAGCTGGGATAAAAGCTTGCTGTTTCAGGCTTGGCTTTAGTTCCTTTTTTAAGGAACTTTATTTGGTCGGTAGTCGGGTATCTGTCAGCCTGAGGAAACGGGGGGTGCATGTCTACATTGCCCCAGACAAATTCCACACTTCTTAGTCAGCCTTAAGGAAGTTGACAGAGGGTTGGCAGCCTCCAATCCATCAAATTCCTGGGAGTTTGGAGAAGAGGTGGCTCTGTGCAGCAGCCAGGCCCCGTTCCTGCCCACAGCATGGAAAAGCCGTGCTCTCACCTGCCTGAGAACGGCCAGAGCTCCACTGTGAGAGGCAAATCCCTAAGAAACAGACTTACTTAATTCACTCCCCTCTCTCCCCCAGCCCTTCTCAGATCCTCTGAATATCTCCAAGCAGGGATTTCATCCCAAGCATCTTTTGGAGGAACGTCCCATCCCACTCCTGAACCCACCCACGTGCCGTGGATGGATTCCAGTTCCCAGAGCAGCTCATTTCATTAACACAGAACCAGGTTTGGGAGTTTTTCCAGTTGAAGGAAGGTGGAGCAAAAAAATTACTAGAGAGGTTCTAAGCATGGAAATCTCTGGAGCTGAGGGTGTCTCCTCCTAGGTTACCTGGATCCTGGCAGGAGTAAAGGTGGGGTGAATTACCATGAGAGAGGAGGAAATACCACTGAGAGCTGCTTTTACTACCCTTTGTGAGCTGTGTCAGCTGTCTGTGAGCTGTGCTGCGTGGGGGTGTGTCCACCCCTCCATAAATCCACATTTTAGCCTTGTTTCCTTAGAAAATGACAGTTAAGTGATGACAGAAGGAGGCTTCCAGCCCTCTGCCACAGCTGCAGGGGGTTAAAGGGGTTTCTGCAGGAGTGGGGAGCCCAGCAGGGCCAGATCCCAGCTAAACCTGCATGAAACATCTTCCCGTGGAAGAAATGTGGTACCAGCGCTGTTTCCTCTGGATGGTGCCGATGGAAAACTCAGGAGCACAAACCCATCACCAGGCAGATTTCCTGGGCAGGAGATGTGGATCCACTTCAGCCAGTCTTCCCAAGGATTCCCACACGGAGGGAGGAATGGTACAGAAAGGATACAACCTCTGAAGTTCTTCCTTTCCGTGGAGAAGGAGAAAATAAAGAGAACAAAATAAGTCTAAATGTTTACCAGAAGTGCAGCAGAAACATTCAAGCAACAGTACTAGGATGCTGTAGGGATCTCTTTTTTCAGCTCACTGGAACATTTACGATTTCCTCAGATCCTGGAGTTCAGGTTCCAAAAATAACCTTTTCGAGTAGATGAAGCCTAAAATAATTTGGGGGAAATCCCTGCTGGGAAAAGCCACTTTCACTGAGGAACTTGAGGCTCCTTCAAAGCCTAAAGGAGTGCACAGGCATTATCCAGAACTTGTTCATCCTGTCCTTTCCCAGCAGATGACACCTCATCCCCTCTAACTATGCGGGAAGGAGGGAGACATGGGAACCAGAATGGACCATTTGCTTGTAAATTGTGAGAAAGTTTGTGGAGAACACAGGACTCCTGGGTGCCCCTAAATAACACTCCTCCACACACCATCCCTGCAAACACCATCCCTCCAAACTGGTTCCCTTCACAAAGTCATTCCCTGTCAAACCTCAGCGTGTTCCCATTGCCCACAGAAACCAAATCAAGGATTTTCAGTGATCCAACCAGCACATTTCACTGTTTTCCTTATTATCTTCTGTAAAAACCAGATGAAATTCCCGTGCAACGAGATGGCACTGACCTCCTACAGCACCTCTTAAGTTCTTCATTAATACTGTCAGCCTGCCTCAGACACATGAGGAATTGTAAAGTTGGGATTTCTGCTCCAGAGGGAGCAGAACCACCTGTGAGAGGCCATTTCACTGTCACATCCCCGTCCTCATCCTGGCATCCCCGAGGTCCATGTCCTCATCACCACAGTTTCATGCACTTGGGCCCAAATGAGTCCCCAAGAACTCCAGGCACCTGGTTAAGGTGTCCAGTTTGGGACTCCAGTGGAATGGCTTTAGGCTGCAAAAGGGCAGGGTTAGATGGGATATTGGGAAGGAATTCTTCCCTGTGAGGGTGGGGAGGTCCTGGCACAGGTTGCCCAGAGAAGCTGTGGCTGCCCCATCCCTCCAAGTGTCCAAGGCCAGGATGGACAGGGCTTGGAGCAACCTGGGCTAGTGGAAGGTGTCCTTGGATGAGCTTGAAGGTCCCTTCCCACCGAACCCATTCCATGATTCTGTGTTGACTCAATATCCACACCTGCAGCTGCAGCACCAGTCACACTGGTACAAATCACACAGCGAGCCCCGCGTGAATTCCCTCAGGGAATTCCCCCCCCCCTCCG